ATTTTCAAATTTTGTGTTTGTCACAAATGTCACAATTTTTGGACACTGTCCTTAATTACAAAATAGGATTCTGCAGAGAAAGTGATTTTTGTTTCGTTGATCGCACATTTGACACCTTGAGTGGCAGATTGTCAGTTTATCTATAAATCATTTTGTGTCCTATCTGAAGAAAAATGTCAATCATAGACACATGCTCTTCAATATTTGTTAATTTTACTTTTACTTTACTTTTGATTGAGTCTGTTTTGTGCTTGGTTGAATCACAAAAGTTTGATTATTGTAATACCTCCCTGGTTCATAAGGTTAAGTTGGCTCATAGTGAATAATATTTGCATATGTATGCATCACTGTTTATTCTTCATATTTAAATGTTCATCAGCCGTGTCAAGGAAAACATTGATCTTTGAGTTAAGTTATGAATCTATCATATTAAGGTGTTCTTCTAAATTTTGAACTGTGAGATGAAATTGAATATTATTCAGTTAGATATTTGTAACCAATACTGTGTATTCAGGTATAAAAGTGAAAAATATAAACTTAAGGTAGTTTAGTTCCATATATTCAGAAATTCTTATAGTCTTGGAGACTGATGGTTTTTTCAGTATACATAACTTAAACATGATCCTTAATCTTGTGTCATAGATTTTGTATTCTTGTAAAATTCACAGAAGTATTGAGTTATATGCTTTCTTAGGTTAGAGCTAATTTGATCAATATATAATTACTTATATGGGTAAATATCAATTGTGTTACCAAATAGACTCCTACACATAACATATACATAGAAGCATATGGTATATTCAGTTCTGTTGTGAACGATAACACAATTTGAGTATCTTTGAGAGTATAAAAGTTGATAGTGTATAAAAGGATCAGTTTGGGTGCTCTGGGTATGTTTCCATCATTTTTAGTCATTTCTCCAGAAAGTAAAAGCCATGTGTGTGTTATGTTTATTGCCTAGGTGATGCATTGATGTCCCATTGATTCAGGCTTAGAGGCATCATTTGTTTGCAGAGCTCCATCTTATTCTTCATTTCATACAGCTGTTCACTTTCAGCCTTTTATAAACCCTTTCAGTGGGTACTGTTAAATTTATTTTGATGAAATGAACCTCTTGATCAAGGGCACTCGTTGTAACACTATAGACACATTGTTCCCATCAAATTCAAATTCTTTGAGCATAAAATTTTGCCTCGGAAATTCTGTATGTAGATCTATTAAGCTTTACTTATAGGGGCCAAGTGCCAAGTTTAGCTTGTAATTTTAACTTCCTATTGACAAATAAATATTGATGAATTATAAAAAGATTCTTTAAATATTTACCATATTGGGTTTCTCAGTTAGCTAAAATCCTGAGTAATGCAAGATTTGGAATAATTTATATAACAATGTTTTTATGCAACTCTATACAAAAAAGGCTAGCCAAATAGGCTATGTAATTCTTTGACCTTTGATTTGCAGTCTTAGTATTCTTCACAAAGTTATACAATCGAATACTGCAAAAATCATGTTCAAGCTTTAAAATGTTTTTGCAATGGAAGCCTAAACAAGAATGCTAGGCTTTTAGGCACCACCTTCTAATCAACACTGCCACAATCTATCAACTAGCTATAATGATTGCAGATTGCCTATGTCTGAATCGCTTTATACAATCATGATAAGTTAAAATGCACCAAAATTACTACATCAAACTGTTACATCAAAAATGTTCTACTACAACCAAATATTTCCTTGTGAGAGCTCTTTGAGCCCCTTTCTATTTTAGCAGGTAACTATATTTACACAATGAACAATCTATGTAACTTAACAAAAAGGAATTTGATCAGAAAACCAGCAATATACCTTTTATATGATATGAGTCATACTCACTTACCACTTAAAAAGCATAGGAAAATGAATCCCCAACATCCCAAATTATGGAATTATTTTTAATTGTATTTCATTTACCTCCTATGAAGGTAAGCAATACCTCTTTGGTTGGGTATATATCCTGTAGTTTTATTGTCATTTTCACTTGTTACTCTGATCAAGGTAGAAAAACTATTTTTACAGCCACAGGCAGTCCCAGCCAGTATACAAAAACTTGTCTTTAATGACATAGATCCATATCAGATCATGCTGTTGAAAAAATCAGAGAAAATCAACACAATCCATTGAATTCATTTCACAGTCTATTTAGAGATTGTTATTATAGTATAAGTAGATGCCTTTTCCTCTTTAACCTTTGATTGCTTGTCAGTCAATCAGTCAATCAGTCAATCAGCCACAACAGATTTAAGCAACAAATAACAAAATGGCACCACACAGTCAATTTGACAATTAAGATACATTGTTAAAATGATAAGAATAGCCTTATAAAAAACTGTTTATTTTTATTTAAAACTTATGATAATAGGTTAACAACATTGAAAGTTGACTCTACAAACCACAATAAGTAAGAGTTGGGTGTGTAGTGGTTCAAATTACATAAATCATTGTTCACATTTCTTTAAAAATTACATGGATATGCAAACAATGTATGTCGTTTTAACATATTTGAACATTTATTTGTACAATCACAATAATTAAGACATTGATTGACATTGACATTCTATTGCTCTTACACATGAACTTTGGGCTAAAATATGGCATATCGTACAATTTGGGCTAAAATATGGCATCAAACAATTTAGGCTAGAATATGGCATCCAGTCATATTTACTCAGTACTGTAGATCAGCATAAGTACTTATTTGAATGTCATGTTAACTACTACTTTGAATGTCATATTAACTACTGATTTGAATGTCATATTAGCCGCATGTAGATTGTAGATGATACTATAGAATTATCAGAGAATTATTAGGTGATTTATTCTCTTCACAGCTGTTACAAAGACCCCTTAACCATTTTAATCTTTAAAACTGAGTTTTATTATTTTTCTCAGATTCGACAATAAAATTAATTCAGTGTTTTTCTGATCAGTCTTCTCATTAATTTTTATCTTAGCTTAGAATACTATATTTATGATTTTTTCATCTAAATTCACTTTATTTCGAAGTAGGAAGATGAGGTTCAATCAGACTTTATCAAACAGCCTTTCAGCAGAGTCTGGTCAGGTTGACCCAACCTTTTATGCAGAGGAATATAAATTATTTTAGCAGTGACAATAAAATGAACATTTTCAAGCAAATTAGTTCCAGTGTCCTGTAATTTGCTATTTGTTGTGAATTCACTGATATCGAGGTTTTAACTAGCATCCTGTTCATTGAAGGAATGAATATAAATGCGAAATAAATATGTTAGATTGCTCTTTTCAGTTGTAAATATATATTTTAAGGACAAATTGAATGAACTGAGGTATAATATTAGACCTCTATACTCATTTAGTATTTCTACCAGGAATGTTTTTTGTAAATCCCAATTTTGACAGAAACATTTTCATTTGGGGATGACATATGGGCTTTTCAAAAGTTGTAACAATTTTACAATATGTTTTGTTAACAACATTCCTAATGGTGCCAATCTTATATAAATCTCTGAGTTGACTTTCTAAGTTCTGACTTTTGTCATTTGGCATTACATGTAATTCTGAAAGGTGAGACCTCCTTTGTTATATCCACATTCCACATTAGCTGTGCTCCTTCATGAAGGTATTTATTCTAAAATTTGAACATGTCTTTAATCTGTATCTTCCATAGCTGATTTAATGTACCTCAAATAGATATAAAGATGTAAAGTAAAACCTGTGTATATCGAACATTTTTTGCCAAGTTCACTAATTAGAGGGTAATTCATACAGAAGTCAGTAGATATAGAGTATATGTGAAGGAAGGGTGTTTACTAGAGACAGGTGTTCACTAAAGAGAGGTGTTCACTAGAGAGAGGTGTTCAATAGAGATGTGTTCACTAGAGACAGGTGTTCACTAGAGACAGGTGTTCACTAAAGAAAGGTGTTCACTAAGACAGCATTTACTGTATTTATGGTGTGACATAATGACTTATATTACTTTTGCATTCTCAATTCTTAGTACCCTTTGCCAAAAGTATAGACAAAGCTCTCTTTTAGAAGTGAAGACATACAAAAACAAATATTCATAGCTACAACAATAAATATGATTTTTCAAAACATAAAATATGAACTTTTTGATTTATATGAGAATTTGAAAAATGTTGTCCCTCAGATGTCAGTTTTCTGCTCACCCCCTAATTGAACCCAAACATCTGGGTGTCATTGCCAAAAATACATTTATTATTGAATCCATTTTGACATGTGATATGTCTTTCTATTGACAATGACTTATCAACAGAAACAAAAATGCAACAGAATGTAACAGAGACCCTTGTTGATTTAACCCTGTCGACATTTTGGATCACTTTCTTGTTAAACCTTCTCAATTTCATTTTTGTTTCTTGAAAAATATTTTAGGTAGATCATCCCTTTTATGTTGTAGCTGTTTGTCCGTTGATTACAAAAATTTTGGATTTTTCAAAGTTGACAGTATCTTGATAAAATTGTATATGGTTAATTGAGAGGGATAAAGTGACTGCACATTTTTTATATGAACTGTGTTAGATAACATTTGACATTGGAACTGTTTATCATTGCTAAGCAGCCTTTCAACAAACAAACAAATACTGTTCATGTATTTATTTAGGATTGAAAATGTTAAGTCAAATCATATACATTACAAAAATAAATTTTGTGGAACTGAGGTTTTAAGTCCCTAACAAAAAACTACATATTTATTCTTGTTAGATCTGTGTTTGACCTCAAAATATTGTAGCAAAAAGTTAATGTATTGATTTGATATGTTTCTTCTTTTTATGATTGAATGAGGTTTTTATATGTTTGAGTATTATACAAATGTTGTCATTTAAATATCTATAATTTGATGAATTTATGATTGAACCTATGATTATATAAAATATGTACAAAATAAGGTATCAGTTCATTTATAACAAAACTTGCCTGTTGTTCATGAAAATGATGTTTTAAATATATTTTTTGCTATTTTTCAGTCGGGCTATCCAGAAGAACCCGGATCTACTACCAGAGACACCTATTAGTGACATATTTTATAATGACTTTTGGGGTACCCCACTAACACACAGTGGCTCACACAAATCCTACAGACCATTATGTGTTCTAACATTCCGGCTGAACTATTTCCTTGGAGGATTAAACCCTGTAGGATATCATCTAGTGAATGTATTACTACACTGCGTAGTTACAGGACTATTTACATACAGTGTAAGGATATTATGCGCAAAGCGGCTGGTTTCCGCTGTCGCTGGTGCCCTATTTGCTGCACACCCAATTCACACAGAGGCTGTGGCTGGGATTGTGGGACGTGCAGATATATTAGCTTGCTTATTTTTTCTTCTATCATTCCTTTGTTATATACAATACTGCTCCATCAGGGATCAGTCTATACATAAAAGTGCATCGTTGTCATGGAGATGGATTTATATGATCATGATGGGATTATCAGCCAGTGCTAGTATGCTATCTAAAGAACAGGGAGTGACAGTACTTGGAGTATGTGCCATTTATGATATACTTGTGTGCCATAGAGTATCCTGGAGACAGTTATTAAAATGCTTATATCAGGTATGCTCCCTCCCTTTTTTATTTGCCGAAAGTGTCATTTTTATATTTTGAAGTGTGGAATGAAATTCTAAATCCAACACTTGTTTAAAGTGTTGCTTAGTATAAATGAAACGGCTCATAAAAAACTAATTTTATTTTTAGAATATTATCATAGATCTCAGAATAATCTGTATTTTAAAGTGTAAAATATCTTTTATGAAGTTATGAAGAGATATTATCATTATGCATCTTTGTGTCTACACAGAGATTTCTAGAAATCCTCATGTACACACAACAGATATGTTCATGAATACATCTTTCATGTAAATGCTCCAAAATATGAACACAATCCAAACTTCAAGCTTCTTTTATCAGATTGACATTTAGAAAAAACAAGTATCTTTTTCTAAGTGATTTAAATGCAAAATGTTTTGAATAATTTTAAAAGGTCACAAAGGTTCAGTGGTCTATGAAAGGCATATTTTATAGTTGTCATTCGATTTGATATTTTAAACAATGGTCAATACAGATGAGACCTTCCCATTTCTTGTCTCTAGGTAAATGCTCTGAAAATGTATATTTTAGTTTTTATTTTATGTCATCTGTACATGTACTTGAGATTTTGAAAATCGGTTTGCATCCACCCGAAAGCTTATTAACACCCACTTGAAAATGAAAAAAAGTCATTTTTGTTGTGAAGATGAGAATTTTGTACCCACATGAAAAAACAAATTGGAGATCAATCAATAGAGGATGGAATGGAAGAAAAAAATTGAATGAGGTGAAGATGTACAATTAGAACCTTTGAATTCTAAGTCTAGTCTCATATTCCTCAAACATTAATTAGCCTAGGTGTTAAGGATAAAGATATATATCAATAGAAAAACACATTTTATTAAATGCATTTGTATTATAGTGTTTCTGTTTATCTACCACTGGTAAATCCAACCTTACTCGAGTCTCTAGCTTACAGCTAGACGAAACTTCATTGATTTCGTATGTACTGTGCTACACGCACCTACACGCACCTAGAACTCATTTTTAATAAATTTTATAAATATTTTTAAGAATATTAATCATATTTAGGATGAAGCGTTGCTTGTCTGGATTTAGATATTTCAAAATTTCATTTCGGAGTTTGACACATGGTGAAATTTTCTCGCTGTAGCTAAAAATGGCTTCCGGTTCTGGACGTGAATAACATTTGAAATTATTCTCGCTTAAAGAAATCAAATATAACAATAGATTCAGACGGGGATGTGAGCTGATGTTCTTCAAATCTATACATAAAGGTATATTTCATATTATTATGCCATATTTACTGTGCGTGTGACACAATGATTTACAATATTTATAATACTAAGGCAGCTCAATCTTCCTCCTCAAAGCCGGAATATAGAGAAGGCTTTGGACCGAAGTAAATCCAACCCATCAGTATGGGAGGACGCAGAACTATCAACTACTCCTTCATTGATTCTTTTATGATTGACATCATCAGATGGTGCTGCCCCCTTTAAATGATATCAATGACTAAAAGCATGTTGTGTTATTTCAGAAACAGTTCAGAAGACTGCACGAGGGCTTAGTGTGTATTGGACTGACTGCTGCAGGCCTGATAGGATTTAGACTGTATTTCATGGGCAATAAACCACCAGAGTTTGCTCCTGCTGATAACCCAGCTTCAGATTCCGCAAGTTTTCTTACAAGGACACTGACGTTTCTACATCTTCCTGTTGTTAACTTCTGGTTACTTTTATTTCCTAAAACACTGAGTTTTGATTGGTCGATGGAGGCTATACCACTAATAGAGTCAGTTTTTGATTCAAGGAATATCTTGAGCGTTATATTTTACGGTGCATTAATTTATTTATTACAGATAATTTTAACTCATTATGAGGGACATCCAATTGTCAAAGTGCATTATGGGAATGGTCATGTGACTTCCACACACAATGGTCAAAATGGTTACCATAGCAATAGTAATGGATGCAATAATCATAATGGAAAACACATTGGTAATGGATTGTCCAATCATATTAAAACTACGCCAACCAATCAGACGTCAGGATTAATACGGCGGCGTTCAAACCGCATCAGTTCTTCATCGAGCTCTGGATCATCAGATGGGGATATAGAAACCAGTACTATCTTAGATGTCCAATGCTTAAACATTCTAACAATTTCTTTGGGGATCATCATCCTCCCCTTCATTCCAGCTACAAACTTATTTTTCTATGTTGGATTTGTGATAGCAGAGCGCGTCCTTTATATCCCCAGTATGGGCTATTGCCTTCTAGTCAGTTATGGTGCTCATATGTTACATACCAAACTCCAAGACATAATGACAACACACAGAAAACGGAAGGATAGTTTTGTGATTCAGAAATATGTTATTCATGTGATACTCTGTGTAACTGTGTTATTGTACAGTGTAAGGACTGTGATACGCAACTGTGATTGGTCAAATGAGGAGAATTTATACAAATCTGGTCTACATGTTAACCCTGCTAAAGGTTAGTATGTTAGCTTACTTTTTATTTTGTTAGTTTATTGAATTGTAAATTACAGGGCATCAAACCCAGTTTGGACTGATTGATCACCCTCATCAAATCACGTATACAGGGGTTTCAATAGAATATCTCACAACAGGCTTTAGATAAATGGAAACAACAGGCAAAATTAATGGAAATCATAAATTCAACATGAAAAAGTTGAAAAGTCCCCAAAAATATCAGGCGATCTTGTGAAAAAAACTGGTGAAAATCGCCTGTTGCCTGGTGCTAATGAAACCCCTGCATTTGGAAATACAGGAGGACTTTTAATTCTCAAAATATACGTTGGTATTATTTGGTAACATAACAATTTTTTCAGCCACTTGAGAAAACTAATGGAGAGCACTTGTATATTAAATATTTGATTCTATTGCAGCATGGGGTAACCTAGCTAACATTCTCAATGGTCAGGGTAAGCTAGAGGAGGCAGAGGCGGCCTACCATGAGGCTCTACAACATAGAGGCAACATGGCAGATGTACACTATAACCTGTAAGTGAACAGATCATACATAAAGCTCTTTAACTACTAAGCACGAGTGTGAGGATTATAGTTACTCATCCAAAAACACATGTTATTATCAAAGTGGCAGACCACAGATGCAAATCCAGTGAAATGACCAAGCATCCTCAATGTCTCATTCACATTTGATCTACGGCAACCATACGGCGGCTGTAGCTTCCCAAAATCGAAACAAATCTGCAGCATGAAATATAGGGATGAGCAGTATGATGTAGATTTTCTTTATTCCATAATACTACTGTTTTCCCAGGGAAATATGAAGGAATAAAAATTGTATTGAATCGTATTACATGAAAAAATCGTATTGTCCCCGGGAAGAAAATCGTATTGGAGCGTATTACATGAAAAAATCGTATTGTCCCCGGGAAAAATCGTATTGGAAAATATTAACCTATTTTTGGTTTTCCTGTTTTTTTTAACCTTAGCTAATTGATAAAAGCATTTTTAAAATGTGACATTTTAGAGGAATGTATTATGGAATAAATAGGTTATTTCTGGTCGGGATTGAATATGGGTTTCATTCCTCGGAAAATATGATATTGACCTTGGGAAATATGATATTGACACTCGGTCGCTGCGCTCCCTCGGTCAATATCATATCACCCTTCGGTCAATATCATATTGTCCCTCGGAATAAAACCCATATTCAATCCCTCCCAGTAAATAACCTATATATATCGATTTTGGGAAGCTACGACCACCATATGGTTGCTGTAGATCGAATGTGACTGAAGCCTAAGAGTTATAAGTAAAGTAGTAGTGAGGTTATATGAATTTAGACTGACAGGTTTATACATGTTGAATTCTCAGCTTATTGAATGTGGCCCCCTCTTTATCATTATTAATCTGTGTTGTCCAAACTATTTTCCATAATACTTTCCTCGATATTAATCCATGCTGTCCTTATAATTTCAGGGGTATCCTGCTCCAGGAGCAAAAGAGATACAGTGAGGCAGTGGAGGCTTACAAGAATGCCATTGACTGCAGACCACGTCTTACAAGTAAGTTGTGTGCCTATGTGTGATACAATTACACTATTGTAATACACCCATTTTCCAAGATTATGATTTGGGTTTTATGAATGGATGAGATGATTTTGTGGAACTGAAATGTATAGCTATTTCTATTACATTTGCTAATTTGGATGGTGATAATATAAAGACTATAAACTGGTATTTTAGAGCAAAAAGAAATGAACGTTTCAAATGCCCCTCGTATATAGAAAATGGTGGTAATGTAATAAAGAATTTATAGAAAATCTTTTCTTGTATTTGTAAAGCTGAAATCGATGGATATGGCCAGCAAAATCATGTCTGCATTTGCCCACTTAAAGACATGCTAAACAGGAGAAATCTCTCTAGAATGCCTTTAAACATATATAAATACTAAATAGTGAAGATGATTATTAGAAGATGAAATACATTGATGGTTCACATACATTTTCTTTTGCAGTGGCGCATTTAAACTTGGGTATAGTGTATGGAATATTGAAGCTCTACCAGGAAGCGGAGAGGACGTATCGACACTGTGCTCAGATAGACACTAAAGGTCTAAAAGACCCCCGTCTCCATGACAACACTAAGATATCTGCCCTCTATAATCTTGGGAGGCTTTTAGCTGATCAAAATAGGGTTAAAGTATGTACATGTATAGTACACATATATATACCCATGATTAGTTTGTCTGGTTGGTGTCTTTTCTTTGATAAAAATATCTTCCTGAGTACCTACATGAACCATACTCATTTGTGGAAGCAGGCAGTTGTAAAAATAAAAAGTCAACTAATAGGCTTGTATTGTTAAAGGCTTGTATAGATGGCATCATATGTCAATAGTTGTCTATTATATCCGATTGGAGAACATAACATACACATGCAAAAATTACTTCAGTAACTCTTGGTATTGGATGTAATGTTACAGGGTGTTCAAAAAAACGCAACCCAAAGAAATCGCTATATCTTGGAAAACACTAATCCAATTATGTTCATATTTTCAGGAAAGAAAGAATAGACTGTGTATGTATAGCTCCTGTAAATGGTCAGTTGTAAAACATGATGCCTTGGACACCTGCTCAAAAGACAGTTGTACTAGCAAAATACGAAAAACGCGAATGGAAAATCACTATATCTTGGAAAATACTAATTCAATTATGTTCATTTTTTCAGGAAAAGAAAGAAGAGACTGTGTATGTATCGCTCCTGTTGTCAGTAAGTTGTAAAACATGATGCCTTGGACACCTGCTCAAATGACAGTTGTACTAGGAGAATATGAAAACGCATTCAGAGGTGACTGCCACAGCAATAAAACCAAATATCTTTCTAACCATGGTGTTTTGGCACTTCAGATTTGGCACAAATTATCCTCATTCAATGTGTGGTAAATTTGTGGAGTTTCATCAAAATCACTCCAGGGACTTTACAGTCATGGTCAATATTCCTTCTTAAGTCTCCCTGAACCAGGGTGTTTGACTGCGATTTGAAAGCATTTCAACCATGACAGTGAAGTCCCTGAAGTGATTTTGATTTCACTTTACAGATTTACCATACAGTGAATGAAGATGGTTTGTGCCAACTTTGAAGAGCCAAAACAATATGGTTAGGAAGTTATTTAATTTTTTTGCGGTTGCAGTCACCCCTGACTGAGTTTTTCGTATTTTCCTATTACAACTGTCTTTTGAGCAGGTGTCCAAGGCATCATGTTTTACAACTAAACATTTACAGGAGCTATACATATACAGTCTCTTCTTTATTTCCTGAAAATATGAATATAATTGAACCAGTATTTTTCAAGATATAGCAATTTCTTTGGGTTGCGTTTTTTTTTGAACACCCTGTATTTAATGTCAATTTAATCCAAGCACAAAGTTGCCATATAGATTGACAGTGACCTCTATTCATGAAGTTTATATGTTACAAATCAATCATTTTACCATTCAATCAATGTGTATACAAAATTCTGTATCAGTGAATTCACCATTTAACAAATCAATCATTTTACCATTCAATCAATGTGTATACAAAATTCTGTATCAGTGAATTCACCATTTAACAAATCAATCATTTTACCATTCAATCAATGTGTATACAAAATTCTGTATCAGTCAATTCACCATATAACAAAATACTAAAAACATGAAAATTACATGCATTAATTTCTTATGTTTACACAAAGTCCATATCATGCATGTTTTTTTGTTCCGAGGAGGCAATTACCATATACCACAAAGCCATCAGTCATACTAAAAAACTGAAAATTACATCCATAAATTCATAATGTTTAAATACAGACCACATCTAATTAACATACATTATTTTGTTACTAGGAGGCGATCAGCATATACCACTCAGCCATCAGTCGTATGCCTAGTCACTACTCCCCTCAGAGTCTCTACAACATGCTTGGTGAGGCTTATGCTAAAGCCAATGAGTTTGACAATGCAGAGAAATGGTACCGCAAAGCATTACATGCCAAACCAGGTCACATTCCAGCACATCTCACAATTGCCAGGCTCATGCAGAAGAAGGTGGGGATTTTTGTATTGTATTCATTATTTATTGTCATGTCATATGTATTGTTGTGATGTAATTGTTATAGTTGCTCACTTTTTTGTGGACGGTGGTTCGTGTTCGGAGGTTGATGACTGTAACAAATGGCAGGTGGTAACATTTTGCATGTTAATGCCTTGTTTACTATAGTGATAAAATTGTTCGCAATACCTCCCAGAAATGCCAAGGGGGATTTTGAATGTCTCATGAGTTCCGTATCAGGCTGCTAGAACCATAAAGGGAGCACGCTCCTTCCTGGAGTTAACAACTTTTTGTGTATTTTTAAGATTTTTGATCATTAAATCTGTGAAGAACTGTACATGTATGTATCTGCATGTTATATGAAGCCCCTTACGAATATATGTTTTTGTATATGTATCACATGTACAGTGTAAAATGACTAAACTATAAAAACAAATATTTCAGGGACTTCATCATGAAGCAGAAGAATGGTACAAAAAGGCCCTTAGAATCAGTTCCAATGACAGCACAATATACCAGCATTACGCACAGTTCCTAGGTGACATCGGGAACCATAAAGAGGCTGCGGAAACCTTTGTTGAAGCATCTCGCCTCTCGCCAAATGATTTTGAACTTTTGTTCAATGCTGCCAATGCATTAAGGTAGAGTTACATGTATTTGAGAAACAAAATGATGTAAAACTTAAAGGTCCCATAAAAGTGTACACTTTCCAGTATCTGAACTAATTTGAAAGAAATCTGTATTTTATTCTGCATAATTAGTCAGACTTTGAAGATGAAGAAAAAACATCTTTTCTTTTGAGTATTAGTGAAAGATGAGATCTGAATCTGAAATCAATGTTTTTTCTTATTATATTCAAAAGAATTAAGGAAGGCCCGTTTAAAACAAATATTTGACAATGAATAAAGAATTCGAGAAACTTTAAGTAGCAAAACATAAGGCTTATGGTACTAAATACCCATTTTAAGTTTATAAGTCTCAGATGATCATTTTGATGATGCTCATAATAGTTCCTGATTCAAATAGAAAGTACAATGTACAATGTAATGATAAACTGTTTGTTTGTTACAGACAGGCCAATATGAATTATGAAGCAGAGCAATACTACGTCCTTGCTGCCAAACTAAAGCCAGAGGTACTGTTCTATTCATGGCAAATCTATAATGCAAATATATGTACATGTACACTCCATGCTAAAAGTTTGGTAACCATGTATGCACAATGTAATGCAATGGTGAAATTAGGATTGCTAAACTTTGGGATGAGAGTGTACTATGGTGATAGGTGGTTTGAAGTGTCTGTATCCAATAAAAAGAGCATAAAAATATTCCCTGAACTTGTGTCTGAAAAGGGAACATTAAATTGACACAGATTTGATTATCAACATATTTTCTGAAATAGAGATTTTGATTAACTATAAAGAATGAGATGTACAAAAAATTAAAGATATTTATTTAAGATTAAATTAAAGACAAAACGATATTGTCACATGTTCAACACATTTGCCTTGTCTTTAGCTCATCTTTCAGAATAATTCATTTGTTAAATATGAAATTGTTTTGTTCATCTTCAGAACCCAACAGCACATATGAACCTTGGTGCCATGCTTCACTTCAATGGAAAACTACAGGAGGCAGAGCAAAGCTATCTACGAGCTCTTCAACTCAAGCCAGATGACATTGTTACGCAGACAAATCTCAAAAAGTTGCGGAATCTTTTACGGAAAGCCAAATTTGAGAATCGAGCATAAAGTGGACATTTTCCCCTAGAATTGGACTTGGGATTTGCTGATGCAAAGCAATAAGAATAATTTTGTTGAATTGTTATTTCATTTAATTATTTGTTAATCTGATAAACAAATTTGTTTTTTTGCTTAAGATATTACTTATCCTGTTATCATTGAAAGTATAATTTGATTATTTTTTCAGCTATTTTTATTGTTATTAAAATGAAGCAGTTCTTGAATTAACGTTATATTTAAACAAACATTGAATACATCACTTGTTTCAAATGTGGCTTTTATTGTTGGATAATGTTTGAAGAGGTTTTTGTATGTTTTAACATTTTGCCAATTGATAATTCTCTATTATCGCATGTTTGTAATAGAATTGGGGAAAACATATTTTAGAATACGATACTATGTATCTACTTATTGAATTTTTCACACGTTTCAAAAATTTAATCTATGCGATAAAAAAGGCATTCACTGTGTTTCTTGTTATATGAATTTTATTCACTCATGTGTATCATATCTCAGCACTTGTTTTTATTCACTTGTTACAGATTGAGTTATAAGACACACACTCTGATTCTTTAAAAAACATAGGGTATCCGCAAATTATGTTTGTACATCTTTGTATAATTTGGTAAATCTAAAGCTACAGTACGCCTGTTGCATAGAAATTGTTGAAAATATCTTGATATTGAACTTTGATTGTATCAATTTTAGGTATTTCTAAGACTTTAGTGTTTTAGTTTCTGTGGTAATACACTGATGTGCATCATGTAGAGCTTAACAGAAAGTTGTTGCTTTACTTCACTTTATGAAGATATTTTACAAAACAAGCAATTTATTGTTGCAAACAACAATTCATTGTTGCATATGTGTGTAAAACGAGGTTTATGTATTGGTTTAACACCATGAAGGATTGGCCCCAGTTTAGGATTAATTTCATTAAATCCTATTGTAATATTTTTTGACTGGCATCGACCAATTGGTAATAACAATAATACTATAATGTTCACTTCCAGGTGAAACATTTAATCTGGAGATGAACAGAATGGTAATAGGATTACCTTTGTCAGTGTCACTCAAAAGAAGATTACAAAAGAACACTTGAAGCCAATCCTCTGGTTTAACACCAATGCTTAAGGAGATGATGAAATCAATGTGGAAAATATGTCCACCTGTAATACAGGTGTTTACTAGTATAGGTGTTTACAAGCCATAAATATGTGTATATGCCTTGTCATGTTTTTAAATTGCATCTCAATTTTCTGTGATAATAAAGTTAAATGAAATGTTTTTGATGAGTCAAATGAGTTGAGTGTAAGCAAGATTATGCTGGTCATACCTGCTTTACTAATGCCATGTCAGTGTTCAGAACATTGTATAAATGTATACACTTTGGAGGGTTATAGACTTTGAATAAAGTGGATATTTACATAAAGTTTATATTCTTTTTTTGTCATGATTATTTTCTACAAAAATGCAATGCAGAATGGTACATGTAGCTCAACCGAGAGTTCTAAATTATCAAAAATCAAGCACAATCTATAACCTTCAAGCTCAACCTTACCTTCTCTTGCTGTAGACAACATCAACCACACAATTCAATTCGGCACAACCTGAAACAGTCTGTATCTCCTCAAATTACAACCAAAACCTCCTTCTCTTCATAAAGCTGCTGATGAAGAATCGAACATATCATGGGTCACCACCCATAAGTTTGAAATATCTTGGTCCCATACTGCGACTCACATAAAGGAGATGTGCTACAGGATCGGGATGTCCAGCCTTTTTCTACAGAAATGACACTATGTGATGAAATTAGATGTACTCTCCCTGTCACATAATCACCGACGTTGGTTCTTGGAAGCTAAGATACTATATGACATGGATCTCATAGATATATTTAGTGACGATTGGAAGCGAACCACCATCAAATGAACATATAAGGGGCATACTTCTATTTGCCTACTTTATAATAAATTTTCTGGGTGTTTAAACGTTTGTTACATTGCATTATTACCTAGCAACCACATAGCAACAGTTTAAAATTATAAATAAGAACCCTACCTTAATTTTGGGGACATTAATGCACTAATAGTAATAGTTTTGGGAGTGGTGGCTTAGCCAATCATGTCTAGAGACATCATCCATTATGAACATGTATGAAGGCGTGCAATCTGTGTCAAATGGTGAGTGATCTAGTTTAGAGGACCCTAGACTTAGTTTTACCTAGGTATACTTATCACTTATCCTTATCACGATCAGCTCCTGCATGTGACTACGAGATCCATAGTTCTCAGCTTCCAATGGTCACTAAATATATCTATGAGACCCATGTCTGCCCTTGTATATGTCTATGAGATCCATAGTTCTCAGCTTCCAATGATCACTGGATATATCTATGAGATCCTTAGCACGATCAGCTCCTGTATGTGTCTACGAGATCCATAGTTGTCAGCTTCCAATGGTCACTAAATATATCTATGAGATCCATGTCTGCTCCTGTATGTGTCTATGGGATCCATAGATCTCCGCTTCCAATGATCACTGGATATATCCATGAGATCCTTATCACGATCAGCTCCTGTATGTGTCTACGAGATCCATAGTTGTCAGCTTCCAATGGTCACTAAATACTGTATATCTATGAGATCCATGTCAGCTCCTGTATGTGTCTATGAGATCCATAGTTCTCAGCTTCCAATGATCACTAAATATGAGATCCTTATCACGATCAGCTCCTGTATGTGTCTACGGGATCCATAGTTGTCAGCTTCCAATGGTCACTAAATATATATATGAGATCCATGTCTGCCCTTGTGTATGTCTATGAGATCCATAGTTCTCATCTTCCAATGATCACTGGATATATCTATGAGATCCTTATCACGATCAGCTCCTTATGTGTCTACGAGATCCATAGTTGTCAGCTTCCAATGGTCACTAAATATATCTATGGGATCCATGTCTGCCCTTGTAGGCTCTTGTATATGTCCATGAGATCCATAGTTCTCGGCTTTCAATGATCACTGGATTTATCTATGAGTTTCTTATCACGATCAGCTCCTGTATGTGTCTACGAGATCCATAGTTGTCAGCTTCCAATGGTCACTAAATATATCTATGAGATCCATGTCAGCTTCTGTATGTGCCTATGAGATCCAAAGTTCTCAGCTTCCAATGATTACTGAATATATCTATGAGATCCTTATCACGATCAGCTCCTGTATGTGTCTACGAGGTCCATAGTTGTCAGCTTCCAGTGATCACTAAATATATCTATGAGATCCCTGTCTGCCCTTGTATATATCTATGAGATCCATAGTTTTCAGCTTTCAATGATCACTATGAGATCCTTGTCACCATCAGCTCCTGTATGTGTCAACGAGATCCATAGTTGTCAGCTTCCAATGGTCACTAATTATATCTATGAGATCGATGTCAGCTCCTGTTTGTGTCTACGAGATCCAAAGTTGTCAGCTTCGAATGGTCACTAAATATATCTATGAGATCCATGTCAACACCTGTATGTGACTATGAGATCCATAGTTCTTAGCTTCCAATGATCACTGAATATATCTATGAGATCCTTATCAGGATCAGCTCCTGGATGTGTCTACGAGATCCATAGTTGTCAGCTTCCAATGGTCACTAAATATATCTATGAGATCCATGTCTGCCCTTGTATATGTCTATGAGATCCATGGTTCTCAGCTTCCAATGATCACTGGATATATCTATGAGATCCTTATCACGATCAGCTCCTGTATGTGTCTACGAGATCCATAGTTGTCAGCTTCCAATGGTCACTAAATATATCTATGAGATCATTATCACGATCAGCTCCTGTATGTTTCTACGGGATCCATAGTTGTCAGCTTCGAATGGTCACTAAATATATCTATGAGATCGATGTCAGCTCCTGTTTGTGTCTATGGGGTCCATAGTTCTCCGCTTCCAATGGTCACTAAATATATCTATGAGATCATTATCACGATCAGCTCCTGTATGTTTCTACGGGATCCATAGTTGTCAGCTTCGAATGGTCACTAAATATATCTATGAGATCCATGTCTGCTTGTATATGTCTATGAGATCCATAGTTCTCAGCTTCCAATGATCACTGGATATATCTATGAGATTGTTGGCACGATCAGCTCCTGTATGTGTCTACGATATCCATAGTTGTCAGCTTCCAATGGTCACTAAATATATCTATGAGATCCATGTCTGCTCCTGTATGTGTCTATGGGATCCATAGATCTCCGCTTCCAATGATCACTGGATATATCTATGAGATCCTTACGATCAGCTCCTGTATGTGTCTACGAGATCCATAGTTGTTGGCTTCCAATGGTCACTAGATATATCTATGAGATCCATGTCAGCTCCTGTATGTGTCTATGAGATCCATAGTTCTCAGCTTCCAATGATCACTGGATATATCTATGAGATTGTTGGTACGATCAGCTCCTGTATGTGTCTACGATATCCATAGTTGTCAGCTTCCAATGGTCACTAAATATATCTATGAGATCCATGTCAGCTCCTGTATGTGTCTATGAGATCCATAGTTCTCAGCTTTCAATGATCACTAAATATATCTATGAGATCATTATCACGATCAGCTCCTGTATGTTTCTACGGGATCCATAGTTGTCAGCTTCCAATGGTCACTAAATATATCTATGAGATCCATGTCTGCCCTTGTATATGTCTATGAGATCCATAGTTCTCAGCTTCCAATGATCACTGGATATATCTATGAGATCCTTATCATGATCAGCTCCTGTATGTGTCTACGAGATCCATAGTTCTCAGCTTCCAATGGTCACTAAATATACCTATGAGATCCATGTCTGCTCCTGTATGTGTCTATGGGATCCAAAGTTCTCCGCTTCCAATGATCACTGGATATATCTATGAGATCCTTATCACGATCAGCTCCTGTATGTGTCTACGAGATCCATAGCTGTCAGCTTCCAAAAGTCACTAAATATATCTATAAGATCCATGTC